CGAGCTAAGAAAATGTTTATCTGCCTGAGCTTGGCCTTCATAATTCCATTCCATCACAGTGATACAATGATGACCCTGGAATGGAATACGTCTTGACTGCCTACAAAGTAGTTTTAAAGATTATTTTATATTTATTTATATTTCACATTTGTCATTGCCCATCTCCCTAGAAGCGACTGAGCGATTTATGGTAAAAGAATAAATACTGTATTAATTAAAATACAATAAAACTACAGTCCTACAATATACCAACTTTCCCTTCATTCTTTCATGTGCTGTAACCTTATTTCTGGACTGTGGCTGATGTCTTGTTATCCCTATTACAAACACTGGGCGTCTATATAATAGTTACATTTCATATCTGAAAAGCAGCATCCACAGAAGCTGCAGGTTGGATGAAGCTGGTATGACCTTACCAGAAATAATTTTTATTAATCTTCTCTTGAATTTGCTACAACTGATTTATTTTTGTACTGTTTTGATCAAAGAGGAGCTGCCCTCCAGTTTTTAGGCATATCAGCCTATCCATAATATGGAATATATTTATCTTTAATACTGAAATAAGCAACTTTACCCAGATTCCTGCTCACCTGGAATTTTAATTTTAAAAAATAAATATGTGGGAAGCTATTGTGCTGCAGAGCAAAATATCAACTTCTAGCATCTTTATTTTCAAGAATTAAAATAGGCCCCCAGACAGTCTTAAAAAATAATGAGTAACAGCAGCCCAATGCTTGGTTTGGAAGTGTGCCTGCTCACCCTGAAAACAAATACAAAAAGAAGCATGGCTCTCAGCATGCTATGGGGAGAAAGGAAGCAGTAGAAAATAATGTTACCAGTTTGCCTTCTGTTAAATACCTTTTACTGAGATTGGCTATGCCCAAATGGCAATCATTTTATATGTATGGAAGACCTCATAAAGCAGTCATGTTGTTTGAACACCCGTGACATTTTCTCAAAGTTCTGAATGTGCCGACAAGTTAAAAAAGGTTGCCTACTCCTGATGTATGTATGTATTGAATTTATACGCCGCCCATCTCCCCTGAGGGTGACTTTGGGCGGCTTACAATTAACATCTGAAACAATAAAAACAATAAAAATACAAACATCCATATTCAAATAACTAATAACAATTCTATGTAAAAACCCGATATATAATTCAAGATGATGGTGGGGAGAATGGTATTGATCATCCCACCAGCCAATTCCAGCAATGGAATTATTTGTTTGTATTACACAAACATGAGTTTATTTTCATTGTTGTGCTCAAGGTATTCAAATAATTTTGATCTTAAATGCTAGAATGGAATTAATTACATTAATTGCTGGCATTGTGAATGCCAGCTTTCTTTACAGAGGAGTCCTAAGAGAGGACATTTTCAAATTCCTCAAGCTATAAATTGTGGAAATTTTAAAAAATACTGGGTTGTTTCCCTTTGGTTAGTATAGAATAATTTGAATAATGTTATTCCTTAGCATACCCACATGACAGCCAGTTTGGTGTGGTAGGTAAGGCTAGAAACCAGGACTAGAAACCAGGAGACCGTGAGTTCCAGTCCCACTTTAGGCACAAAGCTGTCTGGGTGATCTTGGGCCAGTCCCTTTCTCTCAGCCCTAGGGAGGAGGCAATGGTAAATGGCTTCTGAAAATCTTGCCAAGAAAACTGCGGGGACAGTGCAGGCAGTCTCCAGGAGTCAACATTTATTCAAAGGGACCAAAAAAGAAAAAAGTATAACCACATACAGTAGAATTCTGAATAATGCCCCTAATCCTCAAATATAGAAATCTGAAGAAGATTTAGCAAAAATGACCTCTCTTCCTTCTATCTGTTAGATTATCCACTTTGTACATTTCAATTCCATACACCTTTGGATGTATCTCAGTGCTTCTGAGAGACCAGGTGGAGGAGGAGCATTGATGTGAACATGTGAGACAGGAAAGCTATTTCTGGGGATGCAAGAAGAAGCTTTTAATTTCAAGATTTCACACTGTGGTAATAAGTCTTGAAAAACATGAAAGATGTTTGTTGTTTTCTTGAGAACTGTTAATAACTCATTCTCACCTACAGGATGTGTTGATGATATCATAACAGTGCTAGCTGAGGAACATGGATGCTTGGACATTCTGAAGGTCTGAATTTCTTACTTATAACCATAATGACTAATTATAATTCATAGTGAATTATTTCTTGAAATATAGATCAAAAGGTTCAGTAAAAATGTCTTTAAAGAAACTCCTTGATGCTCAGCTTGATTACTCTATGAATATCCACAGTTACTGGGTGTTCATTCCTATCTGCTATATTAACCTGTTGTTGCTCTTTCAGAATTGGCATGTGATAAAAATCTGTTGCCGTATGTTCAGTCAATTTTAGTCAGTCCAAAAAGCGTAACAGATATAATACAATTTATACCCCTAGCTCTTGGTTGTAAATCAAAAGAATATTTATCTTTAGTTCATTTTGAATTAAAGTGCCTACTTATTGGCATGTTTTGCTTAGTCCTGTATATAACATGCAAACATACCCTACTCTCATAAAATAAGGGGAACGCAGGCCAGGAAACACCATTTCTCAGATGTTGCTCCAACCTTGTTGAAACTGTCTCCTTAGAATTAAGATTTGCTCCATCCAAATTCTGAAAGTGACTGAAAGTGGAACTTTTTCAAAGATAATTTAGTTGAATATTTGCCATCTTTAATTTATTTAACTTTCAATTAGTTATATTGGTTCATCTGTTGATATTATTTTATTAGGTTTTTAATTATTTGTTTTATTTTTTATTATGGCAATTATTATAATTTGTCCTTATATTGCAACTTTGATTAGTTATTTGGTTTTAATTTATTTATGTTTACAGTGGAAGTTTTTAACTATTACAGATGTTCTTCATTGTTTTGAATAAACCATATAAACCAGTGCTTCCTAAACTGAGTAAATTACCCAAAATTGGGTAAAAGTGGTTTTTCTTTGGTAATAACATACAAAGCCATTCAAAACAGGGACATTTAAATTGACTTAAAGATTTCCATGTGTACCAAAATATATTTGAAAATCTCACAAAGTATTCCTATTGTGAAAATTGATGAAATTACCAATGGTAATGTGTTGAAATGACATAAAGATCATTCAAAGATATTGTTTTTGTAATACAGGTAGTCCTCAAGTTACAACCATTTGTTCAGTGACTGAAGTTACAGTGGGGCTGAAGGGAGGGATTTACGACAGGTTCTCAAAGGTCCAGCCATTGAAGCAACCCTGTGGTCACGTGAACAAAATTTGGGCACTTGACAACCAGCTCACACTTAGGACTGGTTGCAGTGTCCCGTGGTCACATGGTCACCATTTGAAACCTTCCCTGCCAGCTTCCCACAAGCAAAGACAGTGAGGAAGCCAGCAGGGGAGGTCTCAAGTTGCTTGGGTAAGTCTCCCACACCCACCCCAGCCTTTCTTTGCTCACTTGCACGGACAGCACCCTCCTTCCCCCCTTTGCTCACACTCATGCACCATGCTCTCCTTCCCCCATTTGCTTGGTCACATGCATCATGCCCTCCTTCCCCCTTGGCTTGCATGATGCCTTCTTTCTCCCCTGAGTTTTGAGTAATGAAGGAGAAAGTTTGGGAAGCACTGACATGAACCATCTGTATTGATTTGGTGATATATGAATTAATTAATTAATTAAACTGAAATTTGTATTTTATGTACCAGGAACTTCCTGAAAATATTTTAGCTCTACTTGAGAAGTGTCTTACATTCCACCCTTCCAAACGGTAAGTGTACCTTACAAATGCTTGGGTAATTAGACTTAAAATAAGCAAAATAAAATTGTTACGTATACAGTTTGTTCCTACTTATTTTTAAAAATGAAAACCATAGATATAGAAGTCTACCTTGAAAATTATATGTCCATTATGTCTAGCAGTTTTTTTGTCCATATCTGGGATACTATACAAATCAAGCAGATTCAGATTTGCTGTTCAATAAGTTTAGAGCAAAACCCAATCATAGATACCGAACAACCATGACTGTATATTTGAAATTTTTTAAACAAAAACTTTCAGTCACACTTAATAGTTCTAGTTAACTTCTAGAAATACATTGTAGATTCACAAGTCGTGTTGCCAGCAGAAAAAATAAAATAAAATTCTCCTAGATGTTAAGTAAATCAAAATATCAGAAACAACAGTTAAATTTTGTAAAATGATTGATTAGTTATATTCCATCAAGTCAATGTCAACTCTTAGTGACCACATAGATAGATTTTCTCCCAGAAAATCTGTCCCCAGCCTGGTCCTTCAGGTATTCCAATGGTGCACCCATCTCTGCTGTAATTGAGTCCATCCAACTTGCTGCTTGGTCATCCTCTTCTTCTCTATTCTGCCACCTTTCCCAGGATTGTAAAACTGTCCAGAGAGCTGGGACTTCACATAATGTGTCCAAGTGTGATAAGTCCAAGTGTAATTTGGTGATATATGAATATGATATATGGTGATATATGAATATGATGTATTTGTCCAAGTGTGATTTGACAAGTTTGAGTCTGGTCATTTGTGCCTCCAATGAGTGAGAATGCTGGGTTAATTTGTTTGATGATCCATTTGCTTGTTTCTTTGGCTGTCCATGGTACTCGGGAGTCTTCTTCAACACCAAGTTTTGAAAGCATCACAAATCTTTCTATCCTGCTTCTTTAAATCCAACTTTTGTTTCCATAGAGCGTCAGAGGAAAAAACATTGCCTGAATGATTCTCATCTTTGAGTTAGACATATCCTGGCATCTGAATATCTTTTGCAAGGATTTCATTGTTAAACTACCAAGTGCTACTCCGCAGTGTATTTCTTAACTGCCAGTTCTTTTACTGTTGATGCTTGATCCTAAAGGGCAAAAGCTATCCGCCATTTCAGTATCTTCATTGTTAATTTTAAGGCTGTTTGCTGTTACCTGTTGTCATTAGCTTGGTCTTCTTTATATTTAATCTTAGTCCAGTTTTTTTAACTGTGCTCCTTGGCTTTCATTACTAAAGCTTGAAGGTTATTTGCATTTTCAACTATCGGAATGCTGTCATCAGCGTGATGCCAGTTATTAAAGATTCTTCCCTCAGTTTTAAAACCATTCTCATCTTTTTCCAATCCATCTTTCCTCAATATATATTCTGCATATGTGCAGGCAGTTATGTGTACTCTGAGGACAGTGCATGTTATACCTCTTCTCCGTGAGCTGCATTGGCTGCCAGTTTGCTTCTGGGTCGAATTCAAGGTGCTGGTTTTAACCTTTAAAGCCCTTCATGGAATGGGACCAGGCTATCTGAGGGACCACCTCTCTCTGGTTATATCAGCCCGCCCTGTCAGATCTCACAAAGAAGGCATGTTACGGGTACCATCAGTTAGGGACCTGCATTTGGTGGGTCCCAGAAGACATGCCTTCTCTGCTATGGTGCCCATCTTATGGTATATCCTTCATCCCGAGATAGAGCCACATCCTTTTTGCTATTCCAAAAGGTCCTCAAGGCCTGGTTATATGATCAGGCCTGGGGTTCGCAAGGAACTGGAGACCTGCTTAGATGGCTCCATTGCTGAGGGGGCCATTTTTATTCTCCCTCCCCTGTGGTTTGTATCTTGGTTTTTATGATATTTATTAATGTGGTTTTTATATTTTTCATGTTGTTTTTATATCTTGTTTTTATCTGATTGTTGTATTCTGCCCAGCGTCACTTTTGGTGAGATCGAGGCTATATAAATTTGCAAAATAAAATAAGACAAAATAAAAAAATAAATTTGCCTCAAGGATTGACTGTAAGTTAAAGAGTTTGCAAAATATAATGCTAGATGATATGGTTTTCATGGCTAATTAAAATATATGTAGTGAAAACAGAAAGCGCAGTCAGGGAGAAATAAGTTTGTTTATAATCTGAAATGAGGAAATGGAATATACCACTGAATAAATGTGAAATACTTCCGAGTAAAGGTACATAGAACTGAACTGTATGAATGAATGTAATATGCATAGTTGAATGTAACGTACATAGAATGAATGTAAGATACATAATGAATTTACATTATGTTACATTATGTATGTAACAGATATAATGAATGTAACATACATAGAACAAATGTAATATACATAGTTTGGATTTTTGTAGATATATTTTTGAGCAGTTGATCCTTTTGTCTTCACTTCCTTTTTCTGTTACATCAGGCCTACTCCTGAGAAGCTGTTGAACGATTCAGTGTTCAGTGAAATCTCATCTTTATACCCAACCTTCCACACGCCTGTCAGTTTTTTCTCGCCTAGTCTAAGATGTGCTAACTTATCTCTTCCTGAGGATATTAATCAGCTATTTCAAGGTAAGAAAAATAGATCCTATCTATTTCCCTAGTATTAATGTTATCTCTCCTCCCTCCCTTCCTACTGAACTGTACCATGAGAATATGCTTTCATCACTGATCTTTTTATCCGTGTTTATTATATTAGTATTCTCCTCTTTCTCCAGAAATCCAAAGATAGCATATAGTTGTCTCATTTTAATTCTAAAGTTGTTTGGCCTGTAACTAATAGCATTTTTGAATCCTTATAATTTGCAGATTTCAGATGTTTACATGGATGTTTCATCCCTTGTTATGTGGACTAAGATTCTGTGCTGTAGATTTTAATGAAATGTTTGCCATGCAATTATTTCAAAGAAATAGTTTAGTTCATAATTTGGAAGTAATTATGTGTGTTTGTGTGTGTGTGTGTGTGTGTGGATATATAAATAAATAAATGGCAGCAATTGGAATGATTCAAAATGAGTTTTTCTTGCTACAGTCCATTAAATATAAAATCATTATGAGACTTTACAGCCAACATGTAAGGAAAATTATCACTAGGTAGTGTAGGAGAAGAACCATAACTGCAGACAGACCCAGAGCGATATGTTCAGTCCCCAGCCTTTTCAGTTAAAGAAATGTTAGGTAGGAGAATGAGAAAAGAGTTGTGACTTTTTAAATGGTGCTGTGTTGAATGAATTAATGGTTTGATTGGCTAGCTACAACTCCTTCTCTGTTTGGAAATCTCTTTTTTTTAAATTTACCAATTAAATTCAGAAGGAAAAACTTCGTTGTGCACACATTTTATATAGCTTAAAGCATTTGTATCTATGCAGGTATCCTCCACATGAATCTATAGTTTTTATCATCCCCATCCATCGTAGGCATTAGCCATGAGATTTGGGATGATGATGGTTGTAGGTTCAATTTATCTGAAAGCACTGGCTTGGAGAAGGTAGGAGATGCTATTCTTGTACAGTTATGGAAAGGCATAAACATTCTGGATGAATTTAATACTCATCCTGCATTCTATTACGTTATTGCTGTTGTATCACATGAGACTGAAGATAAATGAATAAAGCATTTAATATGGTCTTGTCTCTTGCATGTATTGAATTTTGCCTTTTCTCCTAACAAATTGTTATGGAGATATTAGCATTCTTGACACAGAGCAACCAATAGATTGTCCAGCTGGATTCGTTTTTCCTAGAGATTTTCCCTTCTCTTTGCAGAGATAATATTATTTTATTTGATAACATGAGGGAAGAATTCATCTGCAGACTTTGTATTCAGTTTTCAGAGAAAAATATAAAATATATTTTTTTGAACGTAGGGAAAAGAAAGTGTAAATTAATATAATAATAATAGTAATAACTGTCTTTGTTGAATTCTATTAATAGAGGAAAGTTCTGATTACCTGGCAGAAAGGACAATTGAAGAAGTTTATTATCTCTGGTGCTTGGCTGGAGGTGACTTAGAGAAAGAGCTTGTCAACAAGGAAATCATTCATTCCAAACCACCCATCTGTACACTTCCTATGTAAGAAATTCAGGCTGGGCAGGGAGGGGGGAACTACCCAGTCTTGGAAAATAAAAGCAAAAAAGAAATATATAAATAAAATAAAAGCAAAAGAGAAATATATAATGATAAAGTGAAACTGGCTTTTAAATAGGAAAAAGGAGGCCAACAGTCTGAAAATCTATTTGCATTATTGAGTACCACACTTTCTATTTATTTCAAAAAGTATGGGAATTTGTAGAAAGGTCTTCAGAGGTGCTCCCTGCAGACATACAGGTTAGTTAAAACATTTGTCAACTAAACATTTAATTGTATTAATAGCGTGCAGCTAAACACTTAATAAATAGTAAAATATAGTTTATGGTACCTGTAGGTAGGAAATAACTTAAAACAGAAATACTTGCCTATCTATTTGATGACAAGTGACAGTAAAAACCTGATTTCACATGATGTGAAAATCAGAGATTTTCACTTTAAAATCGTTTGCTTATCAGAATTACTTTTTCAATGGTTCATTGTTTACATTTGCAAAATTAACTGCACTTCTGTTGGTAAGTATCCTCAACTTCTCAAATACACTGTTTTTATGTGTAAACTGTGTTAACTACCAAGCAAATGTACAGAAACAGAAATAGAGTAAGATCATGCCCCTAATTGTATGAAACTGCTGTCTGATCAAGTGTCAGTACAAATAAAATGGAAGCAGTGCTATTGAAAATGGAAAAAAAAAAAGCAACTTACATAAGCTTTTTTATTTTGTTAAAAATGTTGGAACATGTTTTCCTTTTTGTATTCCTAGTTTTTTGTTTGAAGATGGGGAGAGCTTTGGACAAGGACGGGATAGAAGTTTCCTTTTGGATGACACAACTGTGACACTCTCGCTGTGTCAGCTCAGGAATGTAAGATACCGTGATTCCTTGTAATAGAATATGGTTCATTTATATATGTTATGTATCTTTTGACAAAGATCTGTGTCCAGTATTATGTGAATGGATGTTGATTTGCTCAATAAGACTCATCTCTGCATTGCTTTCTTTCGTACTCCTCAGATCTCATCTGTATTTATCCAGAGCATATTTAGGGAGGGGCTGTAGAAAGAATGCAAATTCTAGTCCTACTGAAGATGTTTTTTTCTTTCCCCACTATTAATAAACAACAAGTTTTTCTTCCCATTACTCAGGTACTCCCTACTCTTGTTCTGAAGTCAAACATTTCACTCATATTTTAATCTTTTTATTATTTATTTTTTAATTGATGAAATGTGCCCTTGAAAATAACACATTTTAAGAACTTATAACTGCAAATACAGTGGTACCTCGGGTTATGATCTTAATCCATTCCGTGACTCTGGTCGCAACCCAATTTGGTCGCAACCCAAAGCAAATTTTCCCATAAGGTTCAATGTATTTGCAGTTAATCCGTTCCGGCGTCCGCGGACCACGCGGCAGGGCGGAAAAACGGCCACAGACCACGTGTCACGGCGGAAAATGGCTGCGGATCTGGTTCGTAACCCGAGGTAAATTTTTTCGGCCGGAGCTGGTCGCAACCCGAAAAGTTCGTTAGCAGAGGCGTTCGTAACCCGAGGTACCACTGTATATAATTTAAGCATTTATTTTTAAAGAAGCAGGGTGCAGGCCCTTTGAGTAGAATGACCAGGAAATCCACTCCACAGGAAGGCTAAAACTGGTTTTATTGAGACTGGGTATAATAGCAGAACCTTGCAAGTCTGATTGTGCTATACCTCCCGCCTCTTACATTCCCATGACTTAAGGAGGCATCTGCCTGAACTGCTTCTGGATGTTATCTCTTTGCTGTGGACTTAAAAAATGTTTCAACCCCTTTTGCGTAGGTAATAGTTCTTGCATACTTCTGTCAAGGCCAGAAATATGCCTTCCTTACTCTCTACACAGGGATTCATTTAAGAACAAAAGAAAGAAATCCAAGACAATTAGTTTTCATATAAGTACACTATAAAGATTTTTCCAATGCTGTTATCAGTTCATGCATATCTTTACAATTAAAAGCTAAACTTTATACTGCTCAGTTTTTTGAGTGATCAAATTTTGATATTGATGTTTGAACACTCGAGATAGATTTATATGCTAAATACAAATATATTTTTTTGGGGAGAATGTAGTTTGAGTCTGGCCTCTAATCAAACATTACAATATTAGCTGAATGCTTTTTTTTTTTTTTTAACAATCAGAAGATTCCAAGCATCCATCCTAGGATAGGCCATAATCAAAAGAGGATCAACAGTGTTTGAAAAAAAGTTTAAACTTCACTGCAAATCCCCAGAGAAGACTTCTCCAGTTACAGAGCAGCACCTGAGTTATATAAAAATATCGTCAAAAAATGGCATTAATTTAAGTATACTGTATCCAAGTCTATAGCTAATACACCATTTTATTATGGAGATCCTTATCTCTAGCCCAATTTAAGGTCCTCCCCACAGCTGTTTTGGAAGGGAAATATAGGAAAACCCCCATAAGAAACCCGATGCTGCCCCTGTGACACAGGGGCCATAGAAACCACAGCTTATGTTCTTTTGCATTGTCAGTTCTACAGGGACACTAGCCAGCACTTGATTACCCCCCTTTTATTTAAATTTCCAGGGCACTTTTTATTTGCATTATCTGTTAAACAACCAAGATAAATTTATTTCTCTAAAAGTAGCAAAATTCTGCTACATTATGTGTAAGCTTTGCCCACAAATGGTTGCCAACAGTTATTGATGTTATGGGATAATTTTGCCTTGTTTGTTTTATAGAATGTATTTTTCTAACTGGAAAATTTATATAATATTCTTACAGAGATTGAAAGATGTTGGTGGAGAAGCATTTTATCCATTGCTTGAAGATGAGTAAGTATATAATATTATTATTATTATTATTATTTGGAGAGGATAGGAATCTCTCAGATTCTCAGTAAATTGAATGATTGACTTTTGGAAGCAAAATACTAGCTTAGAGATAATATCAGGAAAATTTATAAGAATCTTTAGGTGGTTCCAGAGTTATTTATAGTAGATCTACTGTAATCAGTGCAGATTGATTTGTTAATTTCAACAGGTTTACTCATTAAATCTAGATGCATCTTACGGTTATTTCCTGTGAATCAGAATTGTGAAGCAGTAAAATATTTTTATAGAAGCACTTGACCCATTACTGCTTCTGGCTCAAATGAATCTGATTAGAAGGGATCGACTGAAATGTTGAAATTTACTAATGCATCTGTTGCTCCCCGTAGGTCAGCCATGAGCAGAGATTAATAGTAATTACATTATATTTGTGTCAGACGTTTCCTAATACTATGTTGATTGATTCTTGTACAAAGGTATTTTATAATAAATTAGGAAATTAAATTAATTGAGCTTCAGCTTACAAAAAGAAAATTGAATTTGTTTTTTACTATACACAAGTGACGATTTCAATTATTTCATTCCCTAGTTTATTTTTATAATTAATTCCATTGTTTGAGACATAATGATTTAAAAACTATTTTCTCTGTTCTGTTTTAGCCAGTCAAATATACCCCATTCAAATAGTAACAATGAATTATCTGCTGCTGCCAATCTTCCTCTTATTATTCGAGAGCGGGATACTGAATATCAGCTGAACAGGATTGTCCTGTTTGACAGACTACTAAAGGTGTGTAGTTTAGTAAAGCCTCAAATTCTATGCTAATCTTGGTTTTTATCTATTTAATTGCCCTTGATTTTGCCATGGACCGTGATACTGGCCTAAATTCATATTTCTTTTGATATCAGAGCAATGTATTTGATTTATAGTAACTGTGTATGTATATAAAATATTGCAAAATACAAAAGGTTAACAGCATAGAAACATTAGATCCTATTAAAAGTATGGAAGTATTTCTAATACTGGATGGATATATTATTTCTAGGCCTACCCATATAAAAAAAATCAAGTATGGAAAGAAGCCAGAGTTGACATTCCACCTCTAATGAGAGGTTTAACATGGGCAGCGTTACTTGGAGTAGAGGTAAGACTAAGAAAGACACAAAAACGGTCTTCTCTGTCTGTGCAACGTGCCAACCTACCTTTCAACTTCCGCAAAACATTGGAATTTAGCCTGATAAAATCACAGCTGACTACCAAATATTATTGAAAAAATAGGAGTCTGCAATTTGGGCCTGAAACTATAGGAATGATGCAGTGGCACATCTCTTTTGCACCCCGTCTGTGGAGGTAGGCTAGATTAGGATGGCGTATTCAGTCCATCTCAAAAGGAGGTAGCTCTGGGTAGGTCAAAGTGTTGCCTTCATCAAATTACATATCTTATGAGTCACCTGGATCCTATGTTCTTACGGAGTTTAGAATTTCAAAGACCATGAGAAAGTCTGTTTTTCTCTTCTACTTTGGTAGACCAATGCTGCTGCCCTCATCAGTGCAGCATTAAAGTAGAATTTAAAGGTCTAGGTGATGAAGCAGAGCTGGGGGAGTACATAGGCAGGGATAGTAGTAAAATTAGACATTATTTTCCAATTTGAATTTTTATCTAAGCTACAATTACAATTTGGCACTTCTAATCACCACTTCTTCTTTGGGGTATCCTATCTGAACTCTGGATGAATAAGTTCTTAGCAGAGTCTTAACTAATACTTACAATATCTTTATTTTAGGGAGATATTCAAGCAAAATATGATGCTATTGATAAGGACACTCCTATTCCTACAGACAGACAAGTAAGATTTTTGTTACTTTTAAGTATCATAAGCACCCTTTTGTAAATGATCATTGAATCATTTACAAATACTAAACTATAATTAAGAAAATAGTATTGCTAGTATAAAATTCCCATTACAGTGTTGGCATTTTGAACAATAAGCTTGAGTGAAAAAGCTATTATTACTCTGTTTTATATATCTGGGGTTAAAATTTGGGTAAAACTTTTAAGACTATGTAAGGTATGAACCATGAGTTTGTACTTTAACCAGACGTACTTACTTCTTACTTTCTTTCTATGAATGAATGAATGAAATTGATATGGCCGCCTATATAAATGCTGTACCATCACCAATAATGGTAGGTAGTTGTTGTTTTGGTGAGCGAGGGATTGAGTTAGTAGAATGTCTATGCTGCCTTTTATAGAAAAAAGGCAATCTATTAATGCTTATTATTAGATATCAGATTGGGATAGGAAACAAAAGTATTTATTTACTTATTTATTTACCTTATACAGCCACCCATCTCAAATACTTGGCTCTGGGCTGCTAGCGATGATTAAAAACAATATAAAACTTATAACAAACTGATAAATAACTTATACAGGAGCCAAAATAAAAAAACAACCAACACAACAATTAACCATGATATGGGCTCAACCAAATACCCGTATCATGGTTAATTGTAACAAAACCAAATCTTAAGGATTTATGAAAAGTCAACAGGGGGTCGGGGCAAGTCTAATCTCTAGTGGAATATTCCAGAGGGTGGGTGCCACAACAGGAAAGACACTCTTCCTAGGTCCTGCCAGATGATACTCCCTGATGGACAGGACCTGGAGCATGCCTCTCCTGTCAGATCTAACAGAACTGATACAAATACAGAGACATAGTCCTGCAGGTAACCTGGCCCCAAGCCATGAAGGGCTTTATAGATAACCACCAGCACCTTGAATTGAACCCAGAGCCATACTGGCAACCAATGCAGCTTGCATAGCAGAAGTGTCAAATGTGCCAAATGAGAAGCACCCATAACTTCCTCTTAAACAGTCAGATGTCTGAAGTGTCTTATAGAGTGGTCGTGTTTTGTGTGAGGGCTGATTCTATAATACCACATTTAGTCAACTCCTTGGAGTTCTATCCATTTATTCTGTAACTTTTTAAATATTGAGCTACGGAAGACATGCTGTAGTTTGTAAGAATAGAATTAATAAGAAGAACACATTTTTGATTTAAGTTATGGAGAACTTGTGCTTCTTTATGCCTGTAATACATTATATATTTACAGAGTGCTTTTTAGTTGAAAGACTGTAATAAAACTGATGATGGCGATGGCAATGAAATTAAACCTATTTCCAGTTGATTGCCATCTGCATCTCCATATGTAGGATCACAAAAGAAAAAAAAAAAACTTAGTTCCATTCTGCCTTTCTTTCCCCATAGTAATGACTTTAATCTTCCTGAAATTGAATATTATGCATAAAGGGCAAATAAGCTCCCTTATTCCTCGTATGACATAAACTCTGCCTTTTGATCTTCTCTCAAGTGCATATAATAGGATTTTACTACTTCGGATGCTCTGGTTTCAGTTCACTTTAGTAATTGGGGGCGGGGGTAGTCCTACCAACCATATTTCAAGGTTATGGAGAATATGGGACAGCATTTTTAGGTACTTTATAAGTCCATTACTTTAAAGATTAGAAATATAAATTGATCTTGATGTGAAAATTAGAGTTGTGTGCTATTACAAGATAAACGATGAAGTTGTGGCATCCAGTTAGTATCTAAGGAACACTTAGTCTTTATGCAAACATTATCTTTCTTTATATTTTCCTATCTTGTCTTTCTAGTCAAAGGATTAGGGAAGACATATTTCCAAATGTCCCCAATCCTAGTATTTGGAGCCTAGAATAACTGCTTTTTCTCCCCAACTTGCTGCAGAAATTCAGAGGGATTCAGCGCCTAGTCTCCTTTTATGGCTTGTATTGTATTTCTTCTGTCATCTTCTGTGATTGCTTACATTGTAGATTGAAGTTGACATTCCTCGTTGCCATCAGTATGATGAATTGCTGTCATCACCAGAGGGCCATGCAAAATTTAGGCGGGTTTTGAAAGCCTGGGTAGTTTCTCATCCTGATCTTGTATACTGGCAAGGTTAGTTCAGCTGCCTCCTATGGCTAGCAAATGTCTTTTTCAAGTTTTTTTTATATATTCTTCCTTACACATTTTACATAGTAGAATAAACTAAAACATACAAGTGATATAGTAATTACTCCCACTTCATTCTGTAAGTTTTTTTTAAAAAGGTATGTGTAGTTGCAATATAAATAGTTGATTCTTGCACTGTTTCCAGTGACTAAGTAAATTTATTAATTGATTTATAGATTTATAGGCCACTTTAGTCAACTGACCCTAAGCAGTGTACAAGGGCAACAGCCAAAGTCAATACAACATTCAAAATAAAACAATAATGTACAATAAAACTAATACAGACTATAAATACAGTTAAGAACCACAAGTAAATTAATGAATATTAAGATCATTTCTGGGGATAGAAGCTCCACAGCAGTCAAGTCCCCAAGCCCTTCCAGAAGAGCCGAGGTTTCATGAGCTTCCCAAAGACCAAGAAAAGACTGCTTCAGTATCTGTGACTAAAACCATCGGGTCTCCTTAGAAGTGTGATAGGACTGAAGTCCAAATTTCTGATTTTAGAGCTTACTTGATATATGAAGCTTTTCAGAAGGCAGTCATAAATACTGCCCGCCCCAAACCCATGGACTTATTTAAAATCTTAATTCGTGACTGCATCACACATGATCATTTTGAAAGTGGCATGTATCTGCAAATAATTTCTGTAGAATATTTGAGTATATATTAACGTGCATCTTCTGGATGCTCTCAAACTCTGTTAGCTGATCATTTTCTTTAGCAATAGTTTTGCATAATTATCTCTCCCTTGTAGGTCTTGATTCCCTTTGTGCACCTTTCCTGTATCTAAATTTCAACAATGAAGGTAAACATTTTCTTTTCTGAAATCTTGAATTCATGCATGCAGCGCATTAAATCCTGATTAGCTCTGTGCCTGTAATGGAATGTATCTATGAGGAGGAGAGTGATGTGGGAGATCAAGGCTATCAGGAAGGAGGGGGTGCATTCCAGGAGGGGAAAGGAGGCAAAAGGCAACATGGTCCACATGGGGAGCATGGGAAGAGTAAGAGATTCAGAGTAGTCACTCCCTAGAATCTCACAGGGTATATCCACTAGTTGTTGTAGTATAGTTTAGTTTGGCAAGATTCTGTCTATAAAGTGTAAGCAAATAAAGGGACTGTACTCGACTGGACTGTTTCACTGTTGATCTTGGGCTGGGCCTGACAGTGTCTCTGTTTCAGTAGGTTTATGCTTATTATAGAGCAGTTCATGAATTTGCCCACAATACATGGCATAAGGCTGGGATACTTGCAGGACTGTCTGTCTCCAGTTATCTCTGACCACTTGACAAGATCAAATAGGGTTGGCATGCTCTGGGTCCCATCAGTTAATTAGTGTCATCTTAGGGCAGTCAGGAAGTATGCCTTTTCTGTTGCCATGCCTACCCTGTGAAACAGCATCACTTGAGATTCAGATGGCCCCAATCCTGCTTGCCTTTAGAAAGACCCCTGGTTCTTCCCCCAGCGTTGGACCAGGATATTATTTGAGCCCCTTTTAGCATGTGAGGCATGATTTGCCTCAAGCGTGGCGTGTTTTTAATGGCTTTTATTATAATCAATGTTTTTAACTCTCAGTTAGCTGCCCAGAATCGCTCAGTGAGTGGATGACCATACAAATTGTAGAAATAAATAAATGGATACTGAAATCAGATAAATTAGAAGTTCATACTCATACTTGTTCTTGGGGGGGGGGGGTTGTGTGATTTTTTTCCCTTTTGGTAGGATATAAATGTGTTTGTTAATGAAGACTTCTGTTGGTTGCATTTCCAATATGACTCTGAGCTTTGAATCCAGACTAAGACATGTTAGTTAAATCCATCTGATAAGAATATAAATGATCTATTATGTCTATGTTTAAATCTGGATCCAGCTGTGGTATATGTATAAGTTTGCTTAGCTTTGAAAGTATTTTAAGTTTTACAGAAATATTTAATGGGAACAGGGTAACATGTTATTTTCGATCAGTTCTAACAATAATAATGGCTGGATAAAAAGTTATCTCTTTTTCTGGTTCTTTTTTAGCTTTGGCCTATTCCTGCATGTCAGCTTTTATACCGAAATACCTCTATAATTTCTTTCTAAAGGATAATTCTCATGTGATTCAAGGTAGGTTTTCTGCTATAAATCTCATTTAAAATAAGCCTTTAAAAACCTTATACATGGTTTGTCTTTTATAGTTTATAAATCTGCTTTTAGATCTACTGGAAAATACCATATCATACAAAAAATAAAAAAATAGCAAAATGCAGCTACTGCTAACCTGAAACAACTGCATACACACAGTTCCTCTTGAATTTCCTTACTGAAGCTATGTATCGATCTGTTATTTTGATATTGTTGTTACTCATAGATTTTATATTGTTCTTTGTGGTTTTAAGTATATTTTTGTAATTGTGATTTTGTTTTTCTTTTGTAAACTGCTGTGAGCTATTTTTACCAGGAGCGAGAGGGTTATAAATATGATATATATGTCAATAATCACTATAGTAATATTCCAATTGATGTTCCATCCACTTCATTGTTGTCAACTCCTAGTAAAGTAAAAGACAAATTTGGTTTTGTGGGAGAAAAGAGATCACTTAAGAATGATCTCTGTATCCCACAGAACAACCAGAACACTGGTAGTATTGCTGACAGGTGATGTGAGAAATTCCATAAACACATTCAGAAAACTGTCCAGGTCCAGCAAATGACTAGGTCAGACCATTTTAGCCACCCTGGCAGAGGTTGGTACTAGTCTAAAGCTCACCAGGGAATAATTGCTCCCTAGCAGAGAAATGTGGTGGTTACGTTTGGAAGAACTCAGAGGAGACCTTATGAAGCCATGAGAGCTTAAGTTATTTGCTCCTAATGTACTGATAATGTAGGGGACATAGAAAATGGCCTTGAAGGACAATGGAAAGATCCGTTGTCAAGACAACAATCAGGCAACAATATATAGCTTCAGTCAAGCACAGTTTAAGCCTATTCTAAGAAACAAATTTAAGAAACACCTCAGACAGGCCCCTCCCTAATTCACACTAAGATGAAGTGAGGGAGGAAGGAAACACATTCAGACTTGCAAGATTCTGTTACTGTAGCTGTTATAATAAAAGTAGTTTTAGACCCATACGGCATTGGTTTCTTAATGTGGTCTGCCTTATAGGGCTGACAAGGATAGGGAACTTTCATCCCAGTAGCCTATAAACCACAGTAGTCCCTAGTTTTCTACTGTGAAGCTCTCTGTCCCAGCCATTCCTTGCTATTGCTAACCTCCTTAGGCTTGTTCCTGTTCTTAACGTCTCCTTTACATTCTTGTGGCTTTGCTGGTTGATTGTTGGAATCTTGGTTTTCCTATAGGTTTCAGCTTGTTTCCTCCTTGAATGACATTCCAGGAAGTACTCCCCATTTTCATATCATTTCAGTCTTTTTCTTTTATTTCCTTTTTTTTTTTTTTCCTGAAGCTCCATTGGGGCTCTTTGTTAAACTCCAGATTTAAACTCCAGAGTCAGCCGCAGTTAATATATGAGGTGCACCTAAGCTTCAATAAATGAATCAAACAATTATTTAAGTGACATGGAGTTTCATTGTTTCTTCCATGCATAATTAAACATACACCTTCCCTGCATGTGTCCATCAGCTCCACTCCATAAGATCAGATCACCTACATTCAGATCACCTACATTCAGAATCTTTCTTTTAGATTCACAAACATACAACATATATATTTTTATTCCATTTCATTCACTAGTTTATACTTTTTTCCATTTACTCCTCATTCTAAGTCATAGTCTTTCATGTGCCAAGGTCATCATGAAATGGGCCCCATAGGTGTTACCTCCATTACCCATCTTGGCTTTAATCAGTCTAAGCTTTCACATAATACTTTTCAGTAAGAAAACATAGACTAGGTTCCTAGCCTTAGTTGCACATGTTCCACATGCAGCATTTCCAGCTAACTATAAGGACAGTATCAATTTTGGCACATTTTGGCAGGTATGATAAGAGCACAACCAAAGGCCAGATTTATCTCAAGTCTGCTAGCACTATTCTGAGTAAACTAGGATCTTTAACTATAACATATATTGCAAGCCAACATACTGCTGCTTGTTCCCCATCAGGTAACAGGCTAAACACCCTCAGGATGCTTTTCAATAGTAATAAATACTGTAATCCAAAAATGCAAACCCATTTATTTTTACACAACTATAATAAACCTACTTTTCTTATGGATTTGTAAAATAGTTAATATCATTCTGCATTATTTCAAAATACAATGCTAAAAAATGCATATCCTGTAATAATGCGGGCTCCAGTCTTTAAGAGAGGGCACTTGACATGTGTAGTAGATATTTTGAATTTGTTATCTCTTTCCTGAAATTCTGTTGCAATGGAGATTCCATAAAATAAGTTCCTTAAGGCTAAATTCTTACTGAAATAATTTCCAAATAGTCTTTTCTGTCTTCCAGAATATCTAACGGTGTTCTCCCAGATGATTGCATTCCATGATCCTGAGCTGAGTAACCACCTCAACGAAATAGGTTTCATTCCAGATGTAAGTGCAAATGCTTCTTTTATATTTTTAATATAGGTAGAAAGAGCAAAAAGGTTAATGATATATATCCACATATCACAGCCCAAAAACAAATTTAATACAAGAATCAATCAAACTCAGATAGCAGCTATCACAGCAATCAGGTTCTATAGCAGATGTGCCATTTAATGTGATTTTCAGAGGTATAGGATAATTATCATTTTTTCCTCATCACTTTTCACTACTTTTACCTGAGATTGCACAGTCATATTCATGTTTTACTTAAAAGAAAATTCCACTGAATTCAGTGAGGCTTATGTCTAAGTAAGATTGCATATGATGCACTCTTGAGGACTATCTAAATTGCCAGCACTTAATTTTGCATTTACAGCATATAGTTTAGCTCTTATGGTTTTCTGCATATATTCCTGTTAATTGTAATTTAATGGGCTTGAGGAGGAGAGATCCTTGTCATGCCTGTGCTTACCCATATACTCAATAAGTAATACACATCTTTCATTGAGCAGTTTAAGTCACATCAGTAAGTCTTTAACGTCCTATCATTAAAATTGCACTGTGGACTTAAACTTTTGAATGGAAGTTTACTTCTAGTATTGATTTTGTATGTACAGTAGAGAGATTTAATATGCAGTCTTGTACAGTTTAATTTGTACTCTTTTACAATTTAATTCGTATATTGTAGGAGTATTTGACAGAATTCCTAAAATGTTTTGTGTATTGCTCTACCCTTAATTAGGAAAAAATAAAATCTGTACTTTATTTTAGCACTTGTGACTTTCCAGAATCCATCAAAGTGAAGTATATATACTTAGCAATACTATTTTCATGCTTGAGTATTAGTCCTATCAGATCAAATACTGATTAATCTTCTGGGTTCCTCCTGCATGAAATAGTATTTCTTGGCACTTTTCTGTATGCTTTTATGTTTTAGAGCTCTCAAAATATTGAACAGCGAGTCTTGTCTGCTGTTGCAATACCTGCATAATTTAGATGAAATTTGCTTTCCTATATATTTTAAATAAGCACTACAGCTATTACCTTTAGTTGGTATTTAGGTGTTTAGAAGGCCAAACTTCTGTCCTTCAGTAATTTTTTCCACCATTTAAAAATTATAAAGGTACATTGAAGGAGCAAGTATATTTATTTTACCTAGATGTGGTACAGTGTTCACATTGTGAACATACTATCTTCCTCTCATGTGTGCAAGAGGAGAACATTTTCCATTAATACCACCCTACACTATTCCCATGGATCCCAAAATCATCAAAAGCAGGTTGCAAAAAGGAAATGAAGAGATGAAAAAGTCTAATTCCAGGTTCTGAACACATAAGAAGATACAACTTCCCTGCATCTTATTTTGCCTATGACCTGAAATTATATAAGAAATATGTCCTAATCCAAGGATTAGGTGAGCATCAACTCAGTTTTATGAGATGTCATTGGCGCCTGAAAATAAAAATTGAATATAACAATTAAATACAGAGGGATAGATAGCAGTGGCATAGAATGAAGCTTGACTGATTTTTACTCTGAATTCATAAATTGTTCTCTGTTGGTAAAGTTCCTAAAAAAGGGAATATTCAGAGAATTGTTGTGGAGGGATCAACCTAATGCAGAAGCACATAACTATTCTATTAACTATTGGTCACACTTTATCACTGCCCATTGTATTGTTGTGAACAATACAATCTTCTTTAAACAAGTACTGTGGCAAGAATGTGAGCTGTGCTGTTAACTTGCCTATACCTGGTGAGATGGGTAGGGGGCAGTGTGTACTAAGAAAAGTGCGAGTAGTCGTGACCAAAGAGTATTGTATTAACACAGCTGTTGATGGAGGCAGAGAGAAACATGAAGGCAGATGGGAGAAGCAGAATTGCCTCCTGCTTGGTTAATGGGCACTATCTCTAGATAGTGACCACAAGGAAGGATCTGCTGAGGCTTAAGCTAATTTAAAAGCTCCTAAAATCAAGCAAATGGATTTTAAAATCATAATTACAATATTTGTGAAACAGTATTTATAATACACTGTTATATATATTTTATTAATAGTATGCTGTACAAACGTTTGGGAGTCTGTGTCCCCCCGAACCCATTTAGTTGCACCTTCCCAGGATCACACCATGAAAATTAGGTAGTAAAATGACACTAGGGCTGTAATTTTTGCATTTATGAGTGGAGAATGTGTTAATAAAGCACAGAGAAAAAGGTCCTTGGCTCTCTGTTTACGCTTCAACTTTCTTCCTTGCTGCAGCTGGTTGGATCTGGTTAAGAGGACATGGCAAGGTAGAGAGTCAGTTAAACACAGTTCAGAATTTGAGAATCATTGGGACTAATGGCCTGGAAAGCAAGAGTACTCCTTTTGTTTAATTCTTTGCTGATAGAAGTTAAAGTTCATGGGTTTTAATACAGTGTTGTTTCTTAGTATTCCGTGACTGTTGTGCTTTCTTTCTCAGGCAGCTTATCCCAAGCAGAAGTGTATGCTGTCACTGTGCATTATGTTACAGTTACTACTGAATAGTCAATATGGCTTTACCTTTCTTTGAGCTTTGCAGACAAAGCTAACTGCGGAAAGTGCGCACTGTGCAAGTACATCTATTAAGAAGAAGCCTCAAGCTCATAGTTAGATAAATGTATGCTGTTACTGTACATTGTTCACTGGCTGTGTTACTGAAGCTAAACCATTACTGTTGCTTCATTGCTGGGCTTAGTTTGCTGGCTCTTTGTGCATGCAGGTTTTTTAAAAAAATTAAAAATCAGCCTTTTTGGTAGTTTTTTTATTGTGGTACTCAGCATAAACCACCACCCCACCTATTTTTGTGATCCCAAGATGTATAATGACAGACTAAAAGGCTTGTCTGAGTCCCACAGTAGAATACTCAAAAATATTTCAAGTAGTGTTCTACAGGAACACAGCCAACTCAAAACACTGCAACAGGATGTTCCAAATGATGGTGTTTTGTTTGGAGCTGAAAACAGATTTTTGTTTCCTGCTTTTCCTTAATGATCATTAAATAAAAATCTTGGTTTTGATGGAGTTTGTAGCCTGTTTTGCTTATTATTGTTCTTAGGAGGAGGGTGGTAGTATATCAGAATCAAGGTTTGCATTTGTTTTGTTTTTTTCTCAGCATAGTAAGAAATGAAAAATTTGACATCCTGGATACCCAGTCCAGTTCTTCATGCCCGTTTACATCTATGTTGTGGCAGCACTGAATGCATGTTTTTCTTCTCAGTCCTGGAAAATGACTCACTCCATATCTTTACCAAATTTCTACTTATGTATGTCTTCCTTTCCACCACCATCTTGTTTTATGAACATCCATTTGAGTTTAAATGGAACTGATGGGGAGATAAGATTCCATTTTGAATGTACAGACAGTTACATACATAGGAAACTATGTGCATTTTTTTTATGGAGAAAGTGCAAGATGATATTTGTAATCTATGGAGTCTAGATGTAATATCACTGATCTAGGTTTCATACGTAGATATTATACAGGTAATCCTCACTTAATGATGGTAATTGGGACCAGAATTTCCATTGCTAAGTGATGCAGTTGTGTAGTGCAATGTCATGTAACTCTGCTGCTTAGCGACAGAAATTCTGGCATTTCTGGTTGCCATCCTTAAGTGAATCACCATGGTCATTAAGTGAGGATGTCACATGTTGCCATTTGTGACCTCCTACCGGCTTCTCCATTGGTTTTGCTTGTAGGAAGCTGGCAAAGAAGGTTGCAAATGGTGATCATGTGACCACAGGATGCTGTGACATTGTAATTGTGAGCCAGGCATCAAGCTCCCAAATCACAATCACGTGACTGTAGCAATGCTGCAACTGACATAAGTACCACTTGTTCAGCACCAGTGTAAGTTTGAACAGTTGCTGAATGAGGGGTCATTAAGCAAGGACCACCTGTATACAGCAGTAAAATATAATCAGACTCCAGTTCAAAAATTTTAAATTCTGGTTTAGGTAGGATATCATAACAGAGATTTCAACTCCAATCCTAATTTAAACTTCTCATATATAAGTTTGCTTACAGAATTACAACACTGATAAAATTGAAAATTTACAATGATCTACTTTAACAATGTATTCTTTTTTTCCCATGTTGATGTTATAGCTATATGCTATTCCTTGGTTTCTCACAATGTTCACACGTGAGTATCATCTTCTCTCATTTTTTCATTTACAAGTGTATGTTTCTTCATCTCAAGCACCTTTTTATATTTTGACTTGTCAGGGCAATAATCATTATTAAACACGAAACACTCATTGGAGGTGTTTGTATCCATCTGGTGGATAATTAGGCAACTTGGCATTTAAAGCAATATTAGTGTAAAACAGAATTATTTCTGTCATATACTTTCAGGATGATATATTTTCATCCTGAAATCCCCCCTTGCTGCTCTATCTACCAATTATGTTTTGCACAAAATTCCTCTTTCTTTACCTATTCAGTGAAATTTTCAATTTGTTTTTCAGAAAAGTAGTAGTCTTGCTTTTCATCATGATGGTCATTGAACTTTACACAGATAAATATATTTATACAAACCCATATCATACTTTAGAAATGCACCTTAGTTTAATTTTATCAAAAAAAATGCCCTCAATATATCCAAAGATTGTGCCAGTATGTTGAGCTCATTCTTCATGAGTTGTGCATAATTCACAGGAAATTATTCTACAGGCATCCACAAGTATGTAAGATAATGCTGTACATGAGATTTGCAATATATCTAAGAATTGTGCATTGAGCATTTTTTCTGAAGAAAAAAATCTTAGTAGATTTTATAACAGATGCTGTTATAAATGACACAATAATGTTATTTAAAACATTACTTTGGATTCTGATGTGATTTCAAATTTGAAATACCTAATTGTAAAGTAACTATTACTCAGGGGCTTGATAGCAATTACCCTAATAGTGTGTAGTTAAATTCAGAAAATAGCAGCTGTAGAGGAAAAGCACTACATTAACCGCTGGACCTTGGTTTCCTCTAGAAATTGAGGTTCAAATTACAGATCATCTTTTAAATAAATGCAAAATTATTGTGCCCTATTTCTTTGTTATGCTAATATCCACCAATAATGCAGGGGAGGAGTTATAAGATTGCAATTCTCTGCACCCACAGATGGCATCAAATCATAATGAATGTGGCAGTATATATTTCATTAATAATATTAAAACAGGTATTTGATTGCATTGGAGAGTTTTAAATCAACATGTGAAAAAAAACAAAAATCTCTCCAGAAGTAGGAGCTACTATTCTTAATTTATAAAGGAGTGATGTTGAAGTGATGTATGTAGAAAAATAATTATATTTTTTTATGAAACATAAAACTATAGAAATTTCATCCTACTAATTTAATCAATGGACATAACAGTATTTCAAGATAAAATTGTGATATATTCAGCTTCCCCAAAATCTGATGCCAAGAAATGTTGTGCTACAGCGCACAGAATTAACAGCCAGTATTGGCCATGCCACCACATACCAAGGATACCACTTTAAGAAGACTGCTTGATCTTAACATCCATAAGCTGCAACAAGACATGGGGTCATGTTTCCTTTACTTTTGTCCAAAGGAACATTTTAGAAGCTTGTATGTCTGCTTTTTCTTCATCAGGGCTGTGACTTCATCTGAAATAGGCAATATGGTTAATACCAAGAAGGTCAAGATTGGCTTGTTTTAAAACTGATCAGATTACTGTTAAATCACAATTTCCTGGTTTAGATAAAATGAGAAGATATTATTTACAATATAATTTGTTATCATTCCAGCTATGTCAGAGGACTAAGAAGGAACAGTATCGTGTCTAGCACACTAAATACTGATTTATATCATGTGTGAACTAGTGAAACAGTTCCTCCAAGCAGTTTCTC